TTTGTAGGGAAAAAGAAACTAATTTTGTAGGGAAAAAGAGATACTAACAGAGTTGAATAATCCCACAAACTTTTTTTTCCGACTAAAGCTTATTAGTAGACAAAGGTGACAAGTGATATTAAAAAAACACAAAAGCTTGAAGAAATGAAGAAAAGATAGATATTAATACCAAAAATTTAATATTGGTTTGTCTCCACCATTCAGACTATATTCGATTTTTTTATTAACAAATCAAATCAAGTTCTACTACTTTAACTTTGTTAAGTATTAATTCTCAAGTCATTCCTATCTCAACAAAGTAAAATCCAAATGTTCTTTTACATAAAGCCTTTTTAGGGTTTAACAATTTAAATATTCTTTTCTACAACAAACCCCTTTAGGTTATCCAACAAACTAGAGAGACAAATACAAAGATTAAAATCTTCCATATATCAAAGATGAATATTATAGAGTAAGAGTAAAACATAAAGATAGAATAAGTATAGATTAATCACTTCAATTTATGTCTCTATTGGAGTTGCATCTATTATATATATATATATAGTCTTTTGTGATTAAGCGACTATTGAAGCTTTAATGATTCTACCCTCATTTATTATTGATTATACTTCTTCACTTGATTGAGAATGTTTGAAAGTGTTTGTGTTAAAACACTTGATTGTTAGTATTTAATACACCTTATCGAATTTTATCCTATCTGATAGCAAGGTGTACTTGTAACTTTTGTCTTGAAGTAAAAATAACTTTTAAGTGTTAGGTGGACAATGATGCAAAAAAGTAGACAATTTCTATCTTTAGTAAACAAAGTCTCTAATAAGAGAGAAAACATGTCTTTACTTCAATTTTTTTATCCCAAGAGTATTATTCTTTGTTACAACTTTGGAGAACTTAAGACTAACAACATCTATCCATTTAAGACAATTATAAGTATGGTCTAATAGGTTTCTTCTATTCAAATGATACTTTCATATGATACATGTGGGAACAAACACTAGTGCAAAAAGACGCTTTTACATCACCTAAATGACGTCGGAACAACGCACCACCGACGTTATAAAAACGCGGTGGCAGAATGGTAAATAATGGGAACCTAATTTACGTCGGACAAATGGGGGTCCGACATAAATTAGCCCATTAACGTCGGAGCTCGCACTGTCCGACGTAAATTTACGTCGAACCCCCCCTTGTCCGACGTAAATTTACGTCGCACCACCCCAACCCGACGTAAATATGCCCCTAAAATGATGAACCTTTCATTTTTCATTCCTGCGCTCCCTGTTTACGAAAAATAATAACCCTTTTCTCTCATTCTCTAAGTCTCGCAGTGTGTTTGTTTCTACATTGGACGTTTGTAACTCTCTAAGTGTCTGCACCTTACAAGTTTGAGGTTAGTTTCTTGTCTACGCAAATTTTTGGTTTATTTTCTGCTATTTGTTCATCTGGAACGGGCCGTTCTGCAAGCAGTACGGGCCGTTCTGCTTAAATTTTTTGTATTGTAAATTGTTGATCTGGAACGGCCCGTTCTGATTTTAGTATGAGTTGTTCCATATGCATTAAAGATGGAATTTTTTAGGCATTGAGCTTTAGTTGGCGTATCAGAGGGGCGTCGAGGGAGTTGGGCGCGAATGCGCTCGTTTTCTTCGCATAAAGCTGCGAGATCTGCTTCGTTGGCTGTCCGCATTGCCGCTAGGTCGGCTTCGTGCTTGGCATGCATGTTGCGCAGGTCAATGTCATGCTGCTGTCGCATTTGTTCGACTTGGTCGATCAGTCTTCTCAAGGCTACGGCGTCGCTGTCCATGGTTATTGAGTGTTCAGCGTCGTCTGTTACTCGTCTGCTATGGCTTCTGGTGAAAACCATACAGGTGGCCGATAAGAGCTGTCTTGATCGGCCCCACGGTGGGTTATTCACTTTGGGGGTTAGACCGTGCTTATATATTGATAGTATGTAACCTCGGAAGCGTTATAAATGGCAAATCCATTTGCCAAGGAGATGAGTGTAAAATGAACAATATTAATACAAGAGAACCATCCATTTAATGATAGCGACTGCAAAACAGGAAGTAACTAACAATGACACGTGAAAGGGTAAGAGAAAACGATCAACAATAAAATCATACTTTTAAAAATGTGAGGTTTTAGCTCAAATTATTGAAATTTTTGTCAATATACTTCATTATTGTACTTCTTTAATTTCAAAAACCCCGTGTCCTAAACGGTATCGATACCTCACAGCAGACTAATGCGGAAACATGTTACGACTTTGCAAATCTTTTTCAGTATTTTCTGCAAAAAAATGCTTGCTCAGTTCTCGAACGTAAGCTATCAGAAGGATTTAATATAAACAACCCAAAATCCCGAGATAGTAGGCTTAAATCTGCCTATTCAAAACAGGCTTTGGTGCAAGGAAGAGAATTGAGACACAAACCATCATATGAACACCCAGTGGAATAAGGCTTTTGTTATTGAACAAATCATATGAACGAATGAACACAAGCTGGAAGATTAATCTATATGTTGCATGTGTCATAACCAGAGAACCACGGCTGTTCTGCCAATTTTGCAAGCTCACTATCCTCTTCGTTACAAAATAACTCAAATTGACTATCAACATTCTGTGGCACCTTGGTGTCATCAAAAGTAGGTTGTATTTCTTCATTAGGCAAATGTGTTTTGGCATACTGCTTATTAAGTGCGGTAATCTCCTTCTCGTGTTTTTTCTTCAATTTATCAATTTGTTTGTAGGCCTTTGCAGCTTCCTGCTCTGCATCCATCGCCCACTTCTGCAAATAATTTCATCTTACAGAGTTAAACTCAAATAGTTAACTAAGCTGACCCAGCTCTTTGGAAAATAAAATATGTATGCATCAACTATACCAAAATAAAATTGACCTGCTTCTAATGGAATGAACCCGTTAAGATGGGTTTACAATTTGCAACAAATTCATTAATTCAACATAAAAGAATAGGTAACTTAGATGTAGGAAAGAGATCCATTTACCTGAAAGTAAATCTAGGTCACTTACTCCACTTAGAAATTTTTTATAGAATACGAACTTAATATACTGATGATCATGCATAAAAAATTTAGACAATATTGATTTAGGATTTAGGTGATGAAAGAACCAAGTGTCAGTAAATCAATAGAAAATACACATTTATTCATGACATACCTGTGCGGTAATGGAACCTTCTTCTGCTTCTTTAAGTCGCACAAGAAGTTCACCTGCTGCTTGCACTGCTTCAGCAGTATCCTTCAATCGAGACCGAAGACCTCTATTTTCATCTATTATGATTTGCCTTTCTTTTTCTTTATCTGCTTTTAATGCTGAAATTTCTGCAGCAAGGGCATTTATGAATTTAGAGTCTGCACCTTTTACTCCTGCTCTGGAAGCTGCTTTCCTGACATCATCAATTACATCCTGGATCTGTCTATGCCTTTCAAGCAATTGGATATGTTTCTCTTCTAAATCAGCGTACTGTTCTAAAATTCGAGCATGACCCTCTATAGCCATTTGCATTGTTTTATTCAGTTCCTCGGCACACTTCCTCTCGGTATCTAGTTCCTGCTTCCTCTTTTCAGCTAGTGACTTGCTAGCTTCAAGTTCAGCTCTCAGTTTTTCGGTTAGAGAAATCCACCTGCTTTCTGCCTCGGTCCATTGACTTTTTTCTTGCTCAAGTTTTACTTTGGCACTGTCTTCAGTTGATTCTGGATTTGCATTTGCCTCAGTGCTGGCCTCTGTTGAACCTGGAATGGCAGTGAGGTTTGCTGCCGAACTAGGTTCAGATGAATTAGTCAATTGCAATAGCGGATATTGCTTTGTTGTGGATGTAGATGAAGAGTCGACGTAAAAGTGAAGCTGATTTCTTAAATTACATATCTCTTCCATCAACACTTCCCTCTCCCCAAATTGGTAAAAATTCTGATACTCTTGTAACTCATCTTGTACTCTTTTTAACTCTATCTTCATCTTCAGAGCTTCTAGATCATGCTCGTGGTTCTCCTTTAAAATCTGTTTAATGTTGAAAGTAGGAAAGTACTAAATATAAGCATAATTGCATCAAAGATAGTAATCACAAAAACAAAACCTTAAAATAACTTATTTCAACCTTGTTTTCATGTGTGAGGGACACCAGCTCTTCATCCATGAACTCCTTGGTGGATAAAACACCATCCATAAGGTTCTGAAGGCGAATAATTTTATCTTCTCTTATCTGTGTTATTATGGCATTGCATTCTCTCTCATGCCTGTACTTTTGCAACTACAAATATGATTGAAAATAGTCACAATGCAAGACAAAACAATGCCTGCAGACGGTTGTCAATAAACAAAAAATTACCAAGCAATTGAGCTGCATTATCTCAGAAGTCTGCTTTGCACAGAACTCTTCAAGTGCCATTTCTCTCCTTATGGATCCTGCCAAAACCTTCTCTACTGCCTACATCATAGTAGAATAAAAAATGAAAAGTAATATATTGAATTTAAGCCAGAAAATGCAGCTGAGATCCTTACACTTACTTTCAGAATTTGCCTCTTTGGCTTATCAGTAGACTCCGGACATTTAATAGGTACCACCTCCACATTTGAGCTATTGTCAATCTCATTGACATCAAGCTGCATTCTGCTTTTGCAGTTATTACAGGTAAACATAGCATAGTCTTCCATCTTGGCACTATCATCAAGAAAAGTCTGGACTCCCACATCAACTTTGTCCACAGGAAAATTTAGCCTGGAATCTTTGGGTCTCAATGAGAGACTCAATAATGGTGCACCATTACGGTGGCTATCAATAATTTCAAGACCATGGTGGATGCTTGCTGCTAAATTTTCAGTTTTAGTATGGAAATTTGGAGCTGTTTGACTAGACAGAGAAGTAAACATGCATTTCTGATTAACAGTTTTTGTGCCTAAATCACTTTCACCATGATGATTATTCTCAGAAGGAGACTGCTTTAACGAGGTCCTCAAACTTTTCCTGCTGCTGCTGATTGGTGGTGAAAGACCGGGAGTTGGGGATTTGAGAATGTGGGATGTTTCGCATTGAACTATGCTGAGGCTAGCAGGGGTGTCACAATTCATTGCAGCAGTAGGAGAACCAACAGATCCATTAATGGGTGAAAAACCAGCAAAACCTCCATTTGAATTGTGGAGAACTACAGCATGATCCTCAACACCTTCCTCATCAATCTCCATCTCTTCATCACCATCATCATCGACATGAGGTAGTGATAATGGGTAATTGAGGCTAGACTGCAATAAATTCAAACTTCTTTGGATCAAAGCTGCTGAATGAACTCCATTTCCATCACTTGGACTGTAACCATTTGCTTTAACTCGATGCAGCTCATCCTGTTAGATTTCTTACAGTTATAATTTTTTTGAAAAAATTTCATGTACTGGCCAGGTAAAAAGAAAGGAGTGATCATGGTAGAAAAGATATTACCCTGAGTTGGCGTATCACCTCTCGCAATTGATTCACATCATCATGCATTACTTCATTAACAACTGCTTTATTCTTAATAGCTTTGACACGCTGTGCAAATCTCAGTGTACTAAAAGTTTCACTCCTACAACTGCAATGTTATGTCATGAGAAAAAATCCGGCATACATCAAGAGCCAGACAGATTTCAAACCATTAGTAGTTGATATCTACCTTTGTGCTGGGGAAATAGCACAAACCAATGCTAATTTTGCATTTCCTCCAAGAGACTCTTGCAGTAAAAATGTCAACTTGGAATCTCTGTATGGTATATGCCGTTGCTTTCCTGTCTGAGAAACTTCAGCAAGAATGTTGATCAAATTCCTGCAGTCCAATTTAACCTCAGTAAGTAATTGGAAAAGTGGATGAGTAGAATTTAGCACATCGTAAGATATTAATATGATGTATCAGTAAAAATGGTAAGAAATGGTAATTTTCAGCTTTGAATTACATACAGGCAATTGTTAGAGCAAAGTATGTGCTTTGCCAACACTTCCATCAGTGGGCAAGCATTTTCATGTAAACTAATAGAATAATGTAAAACTTGCATTGAACAAAACTTGTTAGGGCTACAAGCTTATAGAGGCCAGCAAACGAATTTCATTGATATAGAAAAAAATCTATGGCAGGGTTCCACAAGAAGTCCTATGGAAGGCTTTATAAAAAGAAAGCACCTTTTTTTTTTACAATTATTAAAGCTAAGAGGATATATATGACAGAGCAACAACCAGTGTATGGAATGAATAGAGTGGTATCAAAAGATTTTCGTATAACAATAATTTTGCACCTAGGTTGACTTTGATGATATACTGTTTACCTTAATATTAAATGCCTTTATTATTGAAAAGTCAATGCCAAAAGGCATTCCTTCTGTGAATGATATTGTTGATAAGTCTTGAATTCATTAAGTATGAACTTGAGATCAGTTTAGATCGGAATGCTAATATGTTATAGGAGGGTTTAGTTGAGCAGAGCACCCAAGGCTCATTTGTTTCCCATGGTCGGGATGATATCCTCACAACGGCCATAGGAAGGCCAGAGCATGGAGGTCGTGTACGTGGTGTTGGTGGTTCTTGGAGCCACCGAGATTTCTTTGGTGCACGATCATCGATGAGCATTGTTGACTCTTGCAATCAAGAGGCTATGCAGAGAATGGAGATGCAGTTTGAAGAGAATTTGTTCGACTTGGTCGATCAGTCTTCTCAAGGCTACGGCGTCGCTGTCCATGGTTATTGAGTGTTCAGCGTCGTCTGTTACTCGTCTGCTATGGCTTCTGGTGAAAACCATACAGGTGGCCGATAAGAGCTGTCTTGATCGGCCCCACGGTGGGCG